TAAATTATATAATTGTATTTTGGTCCAGCCCTATGTGTAACTATTTGCCCTATTTGAAACGATTAAATAATAATATCAATATTTGATATTAAATATATTATTGAAGTATCCAAATAAGTTACAGAGTTTCACAATGCGTATATTTAAATTTGTTCTTACAGCAATTTAAAAGCGAACTCCATTTTTCTCACATTTAAAAAAAAAACTAAGAACTGTACAGAGTATGTATTGTACTACATTTTATAAGTAGGTAAATGATAATACATTTTAATTCCAATTGTAGATCCTAAGTGAAACGGTTTTACAATGATGATGTGTTTGTGTTTTTTTTTTTATTTGTATCTATATCTACCTAAAAATTAAAAAAGTTAGAAATTTATAAAGTTTTCTCTTTTTAAATCTAAGATTTTAAAATTTAGCTCGATATTCATTATAATTTTCTCCATGATAATATCGTCAAAAAAATGTTTACTGGAAAGTCTAATTAAATTTTTACTGAGTGTTTTAAGAGTACGTAACAGTGGTATTTGTTATCTCCGTCTTACCAGTGCGTAATATAGCAAATTTACGCTCAGCAGAACACTTGTAGCTCCTTTAGTTTAAAAATTACAGTGAATCGACCTATTATGAAACTTGATGGTAAGAACATTATCAGTGTTTGTACGTTGGTGTTTTACGATAATTCAATTTTTAAGTGAGTTATGAGCATATAATATACAGTACATTAAAAACGCTCATAACTCACTTAAAAATTGGATTATCATTTATCGTAAAAAACCAACATACAAACACAGATAATGTTCTTTCCATTAAGTTTCATAATAGGTCGATTCACTGTAATTTTTAAACTAAAGGAGCTACAAGTGTTCTGCTGAGCGTAAATTTGCTATATTATGATGTACTGGTAAGACGGAGACAACAAATACCACTGTTACGTACTCTTAAGCAGGATATTCACACGGAACATTTTTTCTATTTAGTTATGATTTTATCGTTTACTACTTGATTTTAGTTTTAGTTTTTTCTTTAAATAACAATCAAATTTTATTTATTGGGCCGGAAAGCTGGAAAATATAATACAAGATTCCTGATTTATTGTTACAATCATATAGTTAAAAAATTTTAAAAATACATGCATGATGTTTTTAATAAGCATTTATAAAGTTCAAATTTTGACAAAATGTATCTAATTAAACATTTATATAAGTCGTTCAACTATTATAGCCAAGTACTAAAAATGTATAACAAAGTTCCACATAAGTAGTTTATTCCATAACCAAAAAATCTAAAAATATATAAACACAGTTTTCTTATATAGTATTTCAAGTTAAAATTTGGATGAAATAACATATTAAATAATCAAAAATAACTATTTTAGGTGTACTTTGTAATTCAAAAATATTTTTTCATATTTTCAGATAGATACTTCAAACTTTTAAACTGTATTATTTTATACAAATATGATAATATACGAATGACATTAATTAAACCTACTACAGTAGTAATAATAGCAATGTAAATTTAATATAAAATATCCTAGACCTACAAACCGTCTCAGCTCAGAATCATTTTTTTTGGATACAATGAAATTATAACATTGCATTTAAATTTAATACCATCCATTACAGTGACCCATTTATAACTCACTGTATAGCTGCAGAGTGACACCCACTTATTCGCTTTTTTATTATGATTGTGTATTATGTATCTATACATAATTTGGATAATATTTTAAGATAAACAGAGTCATAGTTAAATTATAAAGTTGAATTTCCTCTTTTTCATTTACAAAAATCAAATTTAAAGTGTTTAACATTTGTAATTTATTTGAAAAATTTTAATGGGAACAAATACAGTTCAGATGAGTGCTTCATAAAATATCGGGAACCAATTTGTATGCCGCCAATATACCTTTTTATTGCTTCATATATATATACCTTCTAATAGTCCCGAATAATATTTTAAATAACTTACTACACTAATACAGTGTCCTTTAAAACGACCCGCAACAATCCTGCACTGTATAGTAAGGTATATATATATATATATATATATATGCGTGCACATGTTTTATTGATACTATAGTATAACAATTTCTATTATATAAATTATTCATTCGGCCATATAATATGATGGTATAATAATAATAATTTATATAATATAGTACATTCCTATCTCGATTGCGGGTATAAAATATAATGCAGCTCGGCTATATATGATTGATAATATCGTTTTGATATTTTTCCATACAATGGAAATCATCGTACACGCGGCTCGCGYTCTACACATTGCAGTGACCCGGCCCGGGCCGGGTATTTTTCTGGCCAAAACAGCCAAGTCATGTTTGTGGGCCGTGCCGTCACATTATCCGTGGCCGCGATAGCACGCGGCTCCGTTTTCTATGCGTACGACATGCTATCTGAAATTAAAATCTTAATTTAAATAAATACACAATTTTTTTTCACTTTCGGACATAATTTTCACGGGCCAATCGTTTCTTCTCGTTTTCCCTTCGGTCGGTTTATACATATATATTTATTATATTATTATACTTCATTTTTTATCGTTTATGCACGATTTTGATTGTCTGAGTACTATATGATTTACAATTGAAGCGCTTCCAAGACGTAGTTTGCGTCTAGACAGCGATTTCATGCGAATATCCATTCTTCGTTGCCATCATGTAAAACGTTTTTTACTGCAAATCTAAAATCCAATTATCTCTCACCTTACGCACGACGTACATTATTGACATCCATAAAAAAAAGGTTCTTCGATTTTATTTCTCAGGGTAAGAGATAATAATAACAACAATAATAATAAAAATAATAATGAAATAATCGCACACCGTCGAGGTTGTCAATATAATATTATCATTTCTACATAATATACATAGGTATTATACTTTGTGTTAGTAATCACTTCCTTTATCGTTATACTGCATTACGTTTATACGCATTGTAATTGCCGCAATATAATATGTGATATGCAAATGCAATGTTTAATATGTCGCACGATAACTTGCATAATGATAAATATTAATGTTATTTAATTGGTTTAAAAAAAAAATAATATGAAATGAAGGAAAAAAATTTCAACAATATAATTATTTGAATCAGAAAAATCAATTTATAAAACATTAAATTATATAATATACCAGATATCTATACGTAATATTGTTATACACAATGAACATATTAAACAAAGTTGCTAGACTACTAGAGTGTGATAGAATAAAACAATGTACCAAAGTGGTATCGATTTTTCGATTATACGGTTAATCAACGTAGAGGTCCGAAATGTTTTATACCGGTTAAGTTTAAAATTCGTGGACGAATTAGTATACCACTGAACCACTACCACAAATTATTATTATGAACATTGACGTGAGAAAAGTTAATAAAAAAAAAAGGAAAAATCAGGTTTTGGTAGGGGAGTAATCGGTATTTCTCGATCACCTCTACGTCGTGGCCGAAAAAAAGTAAGCCGCGGAGTGTTTCGTTTATAAATCAGTTTAAAACAGCGCATTTTTTAAAATCGAACAGATTTACTTTTTAAGCGGAAATCTAATCCATCGTTTAAGCCATTGAAATTCTCATATATTTTATTACTATAAATAAAACTATTGTTATTTAATTTAATTTCTAACTTTYTACTAAATTTAGTAGGTATAACATAAATGATAAATGTTGCATTCTCAAATCACCATTGCACTATAAAATATCTTGACATAAAAATTGCTTGAAAAATTAACTACCTATAATACTTAATGTTCTAATATATTATAATATTCTCATTTGAAGAACTAAATGTACCATTATGTCAATACCAAAATATTAAAATATCATTTTTTAATGTAAAATATAGCTGTACACAAATTCATCTTATATATTTGACTCTAATACAATATTTATTTATTCTATATTTTTGTAATTACGCTTTAAACGAGTTAATACGTTTTATACTTAAAGGTATATTGGTATATATACTATAATAATATATATATTCTTAAAAAACCTTTTGTGAGTGTCGTTATAACTGAAAACTATATTCACCTTAAAATTTGTCTACTTATTTAAATGTGAATATATTTTTTTAATGTATTATGTAATTTACCCGAATCCCGCTATATACGTTATTATTATGCCTCCTATAAACTCAATAAATATTGCACATTCTTGTAAAAATAAAAATAAAACAGTATCATATATTCATATAATAATAATGCATAATATGTAACAATTAGTTTATGTCGTAAAAAGATGCAACTACATTACAAAAGGTAAAATCGTGTGACATTTTGTTGGCATTATACACGTAAAATATGTGGTACATCATATGTATATTTAAATATATTATTAGTTTCTTGAAAGAGTTTACATCTTGATCATTGCGAGCGGAGTAAAAGTTTCAATTAAAAAAAAAAATCCATAACTAGACGACACGCACTCGTGAACGTGAAGAAGTGCATCTGGCATTAGTAGTTACAATATGGAAAAACGTCATATTTTTTAGTACACGACACCGTCGCATATCGTGTTTCTGTATATACTTTCTTCCTCCGGTAATAAATTTTAAAAATATAACTCCCTGTTTTCGAAATCCTTTCCCCCCTGACATCCACTATCCAGGAAAGGGTTGAGCAAGACCAACGACCCACATCCCTTCATCATATTTCGTTTCTATTTCGGTTATTTGTGATGGCGATAAAAGAAAAAGATATGGTACCTAACCAGACGCACGAAACACATTTTAATTGATTGTGTCGACAGATCTAGTGTTTCTTAAAGTGTAATTGCTGTTAAGCAGTAACTATGGAATAAAAACGTACTTCTACATAAACTACGGACCGTTTGCTGGTTGCGTTATTTACTGACTTTAGATACACGGTGAAATTATATTTTTATTTTCGTTGTGTTATTTCTACAATATAATTTGTCCAACTCGTTTTGAAGAAGTCATTTATTTTCAGTATCACTTTAATTATACTGGTTATTGAAATGAGTAAAAAAAGCGTAAGTAAATAAAAAGAATCTGTTTTTTTTTTACTACACGTTGAGTGATTGCACATTACCTATACTCGTATAATATAATATATTATATCTTCGTAATCACTGCAGTTATGTACCTACATAATAATATTATTATGATAAATATATAATCGCAGTATACTGCTGTATAGTGTATTCAAGTTATGTTTAATACTATATCGTATCAATGAATATGAAGTCATTCATTTTACTATAGATCGATACTGCATTTCCCGAACCACTCGATCGCACCCAATTGAAAAGAGACAGCATTGACAGCGTTCTAAACGCCGTTGGTAGTGAATTAGGAGTAACGGACGAAAACGCATCATATCTCGAGGCGTCGGTCAATAGTTATGGCTACGAAAACGATGCCGAAGAAGGGTATCCCGAGGATTGCGAAGAAGGATTTGTTTTCTGTAAGAATAAGAGGGTACAAGTGCGTATTTTTAGATAGAATATAAATTTAAAAAAGCTGAAACAAAGTTACACGTATATGCAGCACTATATTATTATAAAAAATTTATCTGACTATGATTTATGGTAAACGTCCTACTTTTTAGTATCCACAACGGTCGAGATCCATATTGGAAGAGGATGCATTCCTTGAAAACCCACTGACCGCCGCCGAAGCCAGAAAAAGCCTGAATCGCATCGGTCAAGTAGGAACGGGCTTAATTTATGCTTTCGTTCAAATCGACGTGGACAATAGGTGAAATACGCTTAAAAATTCTTCTTATAGACATTTCTATAGCTATAGGTGAAAAAAAAATGACTCATCGAAAACTAGAGTCAAAGATATAATTTAACTTGTTTTGTATACTTAGCAACAGTAATTATCTGTAATGTGCAGTGCAGTGTCTAGTGGGTACATGTTTTATGTAAATGCTTACTTATCTAAACGGTATATATTTTAAATACCTACATATCATAGTATTATAGTATCATATGTGACCATTTTAAAATATTTTACTAATATTAAAACACGTTGGAACATTTATAGTAAAACCAGGGAAATATCGAATTATAATATTATATATATCAGCATTATCAAAAAAAAATCTCTTTATCTATTCATAATAAAAATTGTAATTCACACTACATATATGATAAAAAATAAACTTTATATTTTAAAATATGGTTCTTATGCTTTTAGTAAGTGTAGTTAAGAGCTAGGTACTTATAGTAAATGTTGATGGAATAAGCTATAGTAAAATTTTTTTTTAAAGTATAGGATTAGAAATTTAAAAAAATTGGGATTCTAATTAATAAACTTACATATGTACTATAAATTAAAATTTGAGGTTGATTAATGATGTGCTATTATTCTTATATGCTTGATGAATCACCATATATATATATATATATACATAGAAATATGTTCCACCCATCTGTTCATTTAATTTAAATTATCATATTTTATTCATTTAAGTTATACATATTATAGTCTATGATAAATTAGTTTTCATATAGGCTCAGCCCTTCTAAATAAGTTGAACTAGGTCGGAATGGAAATRGATATACTTTCACTACAAAAAAATGTCATTTAAAGTCCTCAACTTGATATAATTTACTCATGCATAGATATCGTAAAAATAATTTTAAAAATTTTAATTTCACTTAATGTATACCTCTGCAGCATARTTACACGTCTACGAGTAATTATGTAATTTTATATCGGTAAAATTAATACTAATATTGTTATGATGCATTATATAGTACTATGCATTGTATAGTACTATAATAGTATAGGTAATATAGGTAATGGATTGTTTAAATAATATTATGTACGAATTTGGCACAGTAAAATTGTATGTGACAACAACAATAACAATAATACTACATAATATTATTATCTTATTTTAATAATTTTAGAAACCTCACAAGCATCGATGAAATCACCAACTTTAAATATTTGTCTTACATAAATGTGTCACACAATCACTTGGACTTAAACGCTTTGGACGTGCTCAGAGAGTTGGGGTACGTGGTTGTGATACAGGCTGATCACAACAACATCGATTCCCTTTGTCTGTCTCCAATGCCGTATCTACAGGTAAAAAATATAATAATTTAATATTGTACGGGATAATCGACTCCTCCGTGGGAGGATAAAATGTTATGACACATATAATACCATTACCGATGACACCCCGACGTATTCTTATCATTAATAATGTTTTTTTTTTTTTTAATCTTAATGAATAACAATAGTGTTGTATAATATTCCTTTTATAATTTTTTTACAGGTTTTGACCCTAAACTCGAACAGAGTCTCGTCGCTCTTGGGCCTTAAGCAACCGTCGCTAAAGTGTTTGGAACTGAACGGTAAGTGGGGTGTGATTTTTTTTCCATTCTACTCACCCTGTGTGATACACGATTGTATATAAAATGTACATATAATATGTTTATATTTTTTTTTCATTAGTATTACTATAATGCATATTTGTAAGGGGTAATTTATCAAGTCACAATCGCCGCAGTCGGACAACGGCCAAGTGTCGTGAATATATTTCCCTATTGTCCATGTCCATTTTTCTTGGTGGACAATTTATTGAATGCATTCAATTATTACCCCCGATATGTATAGTATACAATAATTTATATAATATATGCCATGCACTTATTTATCGGCTGCTGCACTGCATATTGTGCACTAAAGATTACAAATAACATTGGTCTGTGCAATGCCATATTATAATGATAATTCAAAATTTTTATTGCATGTGCATAATATTAATTTCATTTATTTTTCAAAGATAAACATCGTGATATTATGTCATATTTTTGGATATTTAGTCGATATTTGTATAATACATTTAATTTGATTATCCTAATATAAATCAATAACTTTACCCAAATACGTATGTATAGTACATAATAAGTATAATATACACTTTCCGGCATATCATGTTTTATAATTTTAGTAATAAACATTATTGTAAATATATGAAGTGTTAKGGTTAATACCTATAGAATTTTTCTAATATTACTGGAGAAAGTTCGAATTTCGAGATTTTACCGATTGATCTTGGCAAAATAAGATATAGGTAATAACAAATAATTCGATCAAACCTTGAATACATAAATTTTACTCCACGGATTTTCAAAAACGATAAATGAATAACTTACCTATCTTCTAAGGCTAAGTTCAAAAAATATATAAACAATAATATAAGTTATGAAGAAAATTATTCATATTATAAACATGTAAAAGTTAAATTATTATTTGAGAATTATTGTTCTTATTTCATTAATAAATGTAAAATATGATAAATACATAATATAGTATTGTAGTACAGGGATATTATACAATTATAAGTTTATACTTAAATGTCGTAAGATTGAATACTGTATAAAATACATTTGATTGATTAAAAAAGAAAAAACTATCTGAATTTAAAATATAAAAACATTTCATAAAAAATAAGATTATAAACACAATTTATTTACAAAATATATAAATTTTATATATAAAATACTATTTATTGAGTACTACATGTTTGACTTCTGACTTTTACTATAACAGGTATGTTATATTATTTTTATCCTATGATTTACCATTCCTGTTTTGTAAAAACTCAAATTACAATTAACTTATATATAGGTACCTTATTAATTATTATAATTGATCATCATAATTGGTAAAATCCAAAATTTGGATATTTATCGGCAGTACTTAGTAAATTCTAAGTTTTAATGGTTCAACAAAGATTTTCCCAATGTTTGTTTAATTTTTTTAAAGAATGGAATATAAATATTTTCTAGGGTATAGGCGGTATGTTAGTCATAATTTAAAAGACAAAATAATTTGGGCAAGCGCTTAGCAAGTACCATAATGCGTTTTTGTATTTTAATTATTATTTATGTATTATTCACTATAATAATCACCATAATAACTTATTGTTATTTAACACCTTTATTATTTATAATCACTAACAATAATGTAAAATTTGCTACCGATATTTACTTAGAGTGCACAATATAGATACATTTTACGGCTATCAAAACAAAAACATCAATAATAATATTTATCTAAGATTTTTCATACTTCCTAAAAATAATACAGTTGTTTGCAATTTATTTTGTACAAAAACACAAATCAATATTACAAATATTTTGCCTTCGGCGGGCGTCGAGGGAGTGATATTCATTTCCCCGTACACACAATCGATAACAAAGCCGTTCATCTTTTGAATGTTTATTTTTTGTATAAACATCTTTTCTTTTTTTAGAATATTATATATTTCGCAAACTTTGAAATTAATATAAATTGTTCTTAAGTTCCCAGTTGAATATCAAATACAAAATATTTTGAAATGTCTTCGATATTAAAATAATTTAAAGAAAGATTTAATACGATTAAAAATAACACAAAAAACTTTGAACCAACTGAAATCCAGTGATTTTATTATTGTAATTCTACGATTAATTGAATGATATTCTGTTATAGAATTACTATTATTTATTATTTGTATATATTCATTATTCATATAACTGTTAATAATTATATTATATGCATATAATTTCTCAAAACATGAGTGTTTAAGAATGTCTTACATTAAAAAAATAATCTATTACTGATTTCAAATTGGTAAATTTCCTAAAATACACTCTAAATACAGCGATAGTAAAAACAATAACTATTCGAGATATTTTGTATTATTAAAGTTAAATCAAAAATATAAATAGTATAATTCCAACGGGAATGAAAATGCTTGAGTTGTCGAGTTGTTAGAGTTATCGCGACTTGGCTGTATTTCATGTCTTGATAGCTTATATTAATTTTATTATAGCGACACTAATTGTTATTCGGACATGATAACACTTTTGGTTTTGTCAAATTTAATAGGTTTAATGTTTATATTTTAATTTGATCTGACGATATATCAAATCGTTAATTATTAATGGTTATAAATCATCTCATTTTGTATCCCGCATATACAGTCGTACTCTGGAACAGCTACATCACGATCACATTATATTATTGAATGTGATTTTCCTTACTAGTTTTTTAATCACATAATAATAATAATATGAGTACCTATAACAGACAAATGCGTGGACGTGATTTTTAATGGTAACTCGTAATTTATTTAATGTTTTTCTTTCAATTTAAAACTATATTCCTATATACGTATGCATTTTCAAAACGATCACTATAACCTGTAGATCCATTATACACAGCGAGTGTACATAATATACTCGATCGTATTATATTGTTTTACACACRCGCATTTAAGGTAAACGTTTATTACTATCGTGTAAGTATATATTATTATTATATTCGTTATCCGTGTATGTATATAATATTATGTATTATATATTTATTATTCAAGTACGAGTGGTGTATAAAACGTATTCAAATACACATCCATCATAACGCTATATTATAATACGCAGTGAATTATATCAAAAATTTCCCCAGTTCAGATATTATATACACTCTTGTGGTTACGTTTATTATATCCATCCTGCACCTTACGGATTCCATTTAAATGAACGTCATAAAGTATCCTGACATTCGTTTAACACAACGGCAACGGTGGCGGGTCGTTCGTATCCGCGTCAACTATATACCTATATGCTGCAGTGTMTAATAGTAATAATGATAATAACAATATTATGTGTTATTCTATTTTTGGAGGCATTTTCTCTCGGCCTCGATTAACCACAGGATGTATAGTATTAAAACCACAAAAAAATAATGTTAAAAAGAAAAAGGAAAAAAAATACCACCGGCGCAAGACACCACTCGAACGACGTAAAATACCGGAATAAAATAAAAACCAACTTGCGCGTTTAAATGATTAACACGTGACGCCAATTCTTTTGACCCCAMCCRGGTCTCCCTTTTGGGAAACGCGCTGCAGAGCAGTCGTATGGTATAGGTATAGACGCACTGCACCGTCGTCGTCCCACCGCAGCACGCACGCACTGACAGGCAGCTGTCGGGGTATTTCGTCGTGTTTATGACGTGTAAAATGTCGAAGGTCTCCGAAGAGTAAAAAGAGAAAAAAAATTCAACAAGACATAATATAGAGCTAGCAGATCTACAATTGAACTAATGACTAACATGTTTAATGTATTTTATTATTTTTTTTTTTAAGTAAACGCTGTCCTATTATGCGACTCACATGTATTTCTCACATACTTTTTCCCGAGATTTTCACTGAAATCCAACCTATACGAAAATAACCTGACCCGTATATTATGTACACATGATGATGCGTTCTTATATACGCATGATAACGTATTACAAATGGCAATTTATGCACAGCAAAAGGACGATAAATGTGCGACGTATTTCACATTAAACGTACGCTCAATATGAGTTCATATTATGTTTTCTGAAAACGCCTGAATCACGAAAGTTCGCATTATGGTTGGTATTTAGGTATATCTCTTTACCATCTACATAACAGCYATTTTTTAAAAGAAATACATAACTTTGTATAACATAAAATGGGGGTACTTTCGATGTGCCGGTCGACTAACTAATCCATAAATAACTTTGATAGTTGTACATTCTAATAAATTAAATTAACGATTAGGTGTACGATTCAGATTTCGGAGAGAGAATTTGACAATGTTTTGGCTTTCCGCCACCATTCCTAAGCAGGCATTATTTATATTATTTTGACTGTTAAATATTTTAATATTTTTCCTTGATTAGTAAAATTCWCAAACAAAACACATAAGTATAACATCAGTTTAATATTATAATTATATTATAATAACGTTGTATTCGTATGAATACTTTTGTGTGCCGCAATTAGTTGTACCTATTATAATTATTTACAAAAATGTTTTATTATACTTATAACCTTCATTTACAGCAGGTTTTTTAATGTAAAAATAAAATAATATATTAATAGATTTTTTTGTTTTTCGTAATAAATAATTTGTACACACTATTTTAAATTAAAAGATAAAAGAATTTTTTCTAAACAAAATAATTGCCAAAAAAATAACAATATGTTATATTATTTTGTTTTCCACAACAAATGAGTACTATACATTAAGCTTTTAGTACCTTTTTTATTTTTGTAAAATTTAAATGAGGGACGCACGTCATTATATTATATTAACCGTSGCGCGAGAAATAAATTCAYTATTATAAATAACAGTCCTAAACACAGTTTTGCCATTGACTTGACCGACCATTTAAAAATATTATAATATTATACCCGTAATAAACATAATATTATATCCAACCAAAGTGTCCGTAGTATTCCGGATACGTCRTAAGCTTTTATAATATTAACCAAATAATTAAATGTCGTGTGCTATTACAATATTGATGACGGCAATAATATTATACACAA